CCAGAAGTAGCATGAGCTGTTCCTCGGCTGTAACAACTACCGCAGATACCAAGCGCGAACAAAGCTCTGCAGCAACAGCAGCAGCAGCAGCAGCAGCAGCAACTCCTACTGCTGCTGCTGCTGCTGCTGTTGCTGTTGCTGCTGCTGCTGCTGCTGCTGTTGCTGGTTTATATTAAGAATACATACCATCATTGCCAAGTGTTCGAGGTGCTCGTGGGTGCGGAAGAGAACGTCGCCAGTATACAGCTCCATGAGGATACACCCCAGCGACCACATGTCGTTGGCCATATCCCAGCCGATGTCTGTACACCGTAAAAATAGAAAAAAAGGAAAAAAAAAAGAATATAAAAGCATAAATATATCATAAACAACATATATTGAACTAAAAAAACAAAACAGAAACAGCAAGATTAACAACCACAGAGGCGAATTCATACAAAAGCAGCAACTGCTGATGCTGCTGCTGCTGCAGCTGCTCTGCTGCAGCTGCACCAGCTGCAGCTGCTGCTGCAGCTGCAGCTGCTCCTGCGGCCGTAGCCGCTTCTGCTGCAGCAGCAGATATGTTTCAGAGCAGCCAGCAGCAGCAGCAGCGGAAATACATTCAGGTGCAGTAGACAGTAGTATCAGCAGCAGCAGCAGCAGCAGCAGCAGCAGCAGCAGCAGCAAGAAAAATGTTTAAAAGCATCAGATCGCAGGAACAGCAGCAGATATGAAAAGGAGCAGCATACAGCAGCATGAGTTTCAGCAGCAACAACAGCAACAGCAACAGCAACAGCAGCACCATAAAAACAATAATAATAATTAATAAAAATAAATAATATTAATATAAATAATAAAAATAATAATATTATAAGTGTTTATTACCCAGTATAACTTCCGGTGCTCTGTACTGTCTGGTGTTGATCAGAGAAGAATGATAGTCCTCCTCAAACGTAGCGCTACCGAAATCTATTATTTTTACTTGCATACTGGCGGGGCGTAGATACGGCGACGAGCAGTCATCGTCTT